CCTGCAGCACCAGGAGGTACTGCTACTGTCAATATTTTGGTTCCAATTCCAACAATCACCACAACAAGTACCTGGTATAGCTCTTTTACCACAACAGAAACTATTCCTGCAGCACCAGGAGGTACTGCTACTGTCAATATTTTGGTTCCAATTCCAACAATCACCACAACAAGTACCTGGGATGGCTCTTTTACCAAAACCGAAACTATTCCTGCAGCACCAGGATATACTGCTGTTGTCAATATTTTGGTTCCAATTCCAACAATTACCACAACAAGTACCTGGGATAAAGAAGAGACTGCGACGTCGACTTATAAGGTAAGCATAGGATATACTGCAAGTGTGGTAGCATATGTTCCAAACGAAGCAGTTGAGGTGGAACTCAACGAAGTAAACGTTGATGAAGGGAACACTCCAGAAATTGACGCTATTGGTATTCTGCTGGAAGAGACACAAGTTAAAGATGACGATGGTGAAAACTCAGATGTTGTCGAAGGTGACAATCCAGGTGGACAAGATTCTCAGAGCTTAGAAGAATATAGTGAAGACACAAAAGAAGATGAGAACTTGGAAGAAAATAGTGAAGACACAAAAGAAGATGGTGATGGTGACGTAAGTGTAAACCAAGGTGTTGCATCTTCTGCCGATGCAAGTGAACTTTCTGAAAATCCACTGATAGTTGACATTAACGGAGCCGAACAAACATTAGGTGGGGTACCATATACCGTGCTAACTTCTAGCAAAGAATATAAAACCATTGGTGGTGGAGTTGCTTACACAATCACGTGTAATTCACTGACAACTTCTACAGATCAAGAATTCCACACTATAGCTGGCAACGGTCCATATGTTTTAGATAATGCTTTCCAAACTATAGCTGGCAATGGTCCATTTGTTTTAGATAATGCTTCCACACCTAATGAACCAAACTTAGGATCCTCGTTATCATCATCATTATCATCATCATCATCACCATCATCATCATCTCAAGGAGGGTTGTTCGATACTGAAAATAACAAAGAAGTGGATGTCGTTGGTTTGGTTGAAGATTCTCAACAAGGAATTGCAGGTTCAGAATTGTATGAAGAAGATGAGGAGGCTGGAACAGTTTCCGTTGGTGATAATGATAATTCTAATGGTGAGATTTTCCCTAATTCAAATGATGATGTACAATTGCCAGAAAACCAAGTTAGCAACGAAGGTATTGCAGATGAAGCATATGTCACTGAGAAGGTAGAGGATAATTTTAGTAATGCTGAATACGAAAATGGTTCTGGAAATGTTGATGGTGATTTTTTAGTTGGTGAAACCATTCCAGAAGGTGTTGATGGTGATGCCATTATTCGAGAAGGTGTTGAAAGCGATACTAAGATCACTAAGGAAGGGTCTGAAGGTGATTCTATCATTCCGGGAGAAGAAGGGGTTGAAGGCGGTGCTGCTGTCGATGATATGGAGAACGGACAGGCTATTGTTGGGGATGAACAGCTTCCTGAGCAATATGTTGGATTAAATAGTTTAGATGCTGATTTAGATTCTGATTTAGATGCTGGTTTAGATGCTGATCTAGATTCTGGTTTAGATGCTGATTTAGATGCTGACTTAGATGCTGATTTAGAAGAAGAAGTTTCAGTTGGGTTTGAGTACTCTGAAGAAGATGTATTTACCGGTTCGGCATCCAAACTTTCAGTTTGCTTTGCTTTACTTTTTATTGGTTTGATTCTTTAATATATGTTTGATTGATATTAAAAATAAAAATAAAAATAAAAAAAAAGAAGATTGAATTTTCGATAAATTAAATGATAACGTTGAATTCATTTATGGTTTATAATAATAATAATAATAATTGTTTTAATTAAATACCATTTCTCTTTATCTCTCTATCTATCTCTTTATATATCTCTATTAATATCTATTGGTGTTTTAATAAATAAATAAATAAATAAATAAATTATATAATTATCATATTCTTTAAAACAATAACTACCTACGAATCATATTATTGAAAACCATAATTAATTTATAACTTAATTAAGTAATGATTTCATGGATAACTTAACTAATTAACTTAATCAAATAAGAGATGTTCCATACTATATAAATCGATTCCAACAAGACATTATAAATACTATACCCCACCCATTTATATAGAGATTGTATTGGACTTTATGATGAAAGTTTGTTTTGACAGTTGTTGATTACTGTTTTATATGTACTTCATTCTTTTTCTTCTAAGAGATTGAATTGATTTTCTACTTTTATTTCTACTTTTAAATTAATTAATTAATATTAAATGTGGTTTATTACAATTTTAAATTCTATTTTCTTATTGTTTTATTTTATTATTATTATTATTATTTACTATTTGGTATTTGATTTCTAATTTCCTTTCTCATTCTGTGTTCGCATATAATTGTATATGTATTACATTTATGGTGTGTTGGTAGTGGGGTGGGAAATTCCAGTACCGAGAGAAAATTTTCCATCCTGTCTCGTCGAACCTTTCATTAAAATGAATTTATAGTTTATAT